TTGAACCGAATGGTTGTCCAAGAAAGAATTTTACATATGTGTCGTTTTGATTGGCCAGACAATCATATTCAAGATATATTGTCTCTCGAAAATGCACTACCAGGACACGCAATGAAACCGGTAACACCACCTATAGGTTGTTCCATATATAACATATGAAGTTTTTGGTAGATGAGGTCGAAAACATTGAACAACCATTCAAATATCGGCTGCTGATTTCATCTCTTCAGGCAGTAAATCAAACTTACACCTACAGACAATACTTTATAATAATTCAAGGTCTTCATCTTTGTCTAGTTTGGTGCGAAGGTGTCGCACCGACAAATTCAAAAACTTCTGTTTCGATGTGAGCCTTAAGGTGATATGTTACGGTGACGAAATCTTTGCCGCCTTGAGCACTAACTTCGCGGACACCATATCTGTAACAAGAAAAGAAATTTAATAGGAAATAAGAGAAAGCTGAAATAGAAAATCAAAACAATATTTCTTTACTTTCTGATTACAATAAACGTAATTGCTTTGGCATAAGACATACACACAATCAGAAATTCCAACACAAACACCAACGAATATATAACCATTGTCTGATGAATGAAACACAAAACAGAGTAGTATAATGTAAACAATTAACTACTGGAATAGCTGCTTCGTTACAACCAGCCATGCCTTGTTTGGAAAGGTTTCTTGGTCATCAGAAAAGACAAAAGTTGATGGTGTGTTGTGGGCCTATATTTTCTTTTTGTTTTTGTAGATCACTTCACTGCATCTCCATATGAGATAACTTTCCACTGTATCTATTCTTGAATTACTAGAGAATTTGCGCCCGCTTCTCAAGTTGTTTTCACCCAGAAACATTTCTTATCTTATTACGCGGACGTATATCCTGTCGAAAATTCGACATTGGGTTATAGCAAAAATTGGTAGCACTGACCACACACAGTGATTACCTCATGGCCATCACCGCCTGGTACTAGTGAAGTGGGAGGATAAAGGAAAAAACAAACGCAGGGACACTTGGAAGACAGATAAAATATACTGTCAATAAATTTCCAATAAACTAGCTGAAGTTCACCCTTGGGACCGAAAACTACGTCGGTCCTATAAAAATTTTAAAGCAAATGCACAACCAGTAAAAGCAATGAAACCCCGCAGTCTCACCTGCAGATGGTCCCAATATAACATACGAAGTTTTTGGTAGATGAGGTCGAACAACTTGAACTATCATTCGAATATCGGCAGTTGATTCCATATCCTCATATACAGGCAATGCTTACTAATATTTCAGTCTTCCTCTGTCCAATTTGGTGCGAAGGTATTTCACTGACAAATTTCTCAAACTCGTGCTTCAATGTGGCAGCTCCAGAGTAATAAATTACGGTGACGAAAACTTTATCTGTAACAAGAAATAACATTTAATCGAAAATAAGAGAAAGCTCAAATAGAAAATCAAAACATATTATCTTTACTTTCTGATTACAATAAAACGAAATCGCATTGGCATAACACATACACACAAACATAAGATCATTACACATACGAAATATAACAATTGTCAATTGTCTGTTGGTTTGTTCGTGCAGCCTGTTGCTGACGATCAGCAAACTGATAGTCTCTGACTGTAATAGATTCCGTACAAGAGAACGTTACGAGTTGGCTGAGGGAGCTAAGACTGATTACCGACAACTATTCCGCTGTTCGTACAGAAACTTCTGACTGTTTGATGACTGTCAAATTAGTCAGCACATAATTTGCCATTAAATTGTCAGAGCTCGAAATCAAGTACAATAATTATTATCGAGTGTACATTTTTTCACAATGAAGTAGACAATTTGGAAAAGTTGGAGTATGTTCACTTGTTTGTTAAATCATAATGATCTAGGATTTATCGTCCAACTCCCGAATGTGCCCGAATTTTCCTGTAGAGAGGAAAACATGGGACACTTTCTAGAAAAAATAACAGCACTCAAAAATCTCAAGTAGATTTAGTAGTAGTAGAAAGTATAACAATAAATTCGAATATGATTCGACGCATCGAATGGACAACTTGAAGAAGGAATAGTAAGAATTTTAAAATAAACGTCTACAGTGATGCGTGAGAAATGTACAAAGTATTGTGAATAACTTTTTAGTGAAAACTCGGATAGTAGTGTTTTTGTTCCTGTTCCGTTGTCGCCCAGTCTTCAGCGTATGCAACAAACAGTATTTATTATATTATAGCTGCGCAAGTCCAGCCCAAAGCTGATGAAAAGAAAAACAAATATAACGAATACTGGAGATTTTGTGATACAGCTTTCTTTCACGGGCGCCAACGGAGAGGGAGTGCTGGGGTGAAAAAAATATTTGTCTATATAGGGTATTTAAATTCGACCCTCACCATTGGGATGTCGGAAACTCTAAGTGATACTAAGTCGCTAAAATAGGTGCAAAGTTGCGTATTTCAGATAATCAGCAAAAATGTCGCTTAGGTTTTGAAATTAATCGTACTTCCGGAAAGAGTCGTAAAAAACTAAATTTTCCAAATGGTTTTAATCTTCTGACTTTATTTGTGGTGAAATTTCAAACTAAGTTGCACATCAGCTCTTCCACATTTTCTCCTCTTCAAGACAGAGCAATTATCATTACCTTAATTTTTTCTTGTAGACGACATATGGATTTTTACACACATGGATAGAATGTTTATTCAGATTTCACAATGTAAATATGTTATACGTTGACATTGCAAAACCTTAGTTATTCCAGAAGTTCCTAGGTAGGCTTTGAAATTATCAGATTTCATTTAGGGTTATTATTGTTATATTACCATCAATAAATTTTCATTTCGTGTTCAGATTTCACCATATCTTTTCAATTCCTTATAATGTTTCATTCAACAATAAATTTATGGTCAACTAACGAAATACATCACTGAATTTGGAGCTGAAAAGTCCATTTAAATGTACAAAATTCCAATATAGCGTCCGTTGAAAAAGCAAAGTTGATGGATGGAAGTCTCAAATAAAGTCAGGAAAAAAATAAAGCCATTTTGGTGAGCGAAACAAATATCTGATAATTTCAAGTCCTACCTAAGAAATTCTTTTTTTAAGTAATCAAGGTTTGGCAACGTCTATGCATTTTTTTGGATCAAAATTAAAAACTCTGTCCTAAAGAGATAATAAAGGTGATGCTGGAGGTCAAGAGACGAACCGTCATCTAAAAACTCTGATTATGCTTTCTTGAAGAGGAGAAAACGTGGCAATGTTAATGTGTAATTTATTTTAAGATCCCAATATAAATAGTCAGGAAAAAATCAAAACGATTTTGGGAAAATTCAGTTTTTTCCGTCACTCTGCCGGAAGTACTTCGAATTTTTAAACTTTCTAAGTGTCATTTCGTTGACTACCCCCCATTTAGTTGACTTCGTATCTCTCACAGTTTCCAAGATCCCGATGGTGAGCGCCGAATTTGAATTGCCTTGTATATGCAGACTCTCACTAGAAGAAAGAAGCAAAAATAGTACAAGGATTTAATAACGTCTTTGAATAACAAAGGGTGCTGCTATACACTAAAAAGCTAAAACGGCTCAACATAACTACAATAAAATTAACCAGATCTGCTTACATAGCTATATGTTTCACAGTGTTCTCAACATGGACAAGAAGAACTGAGACTACGAAATTACATACTTAAATCGCGTAATTTCGCATTTTGCAACTGTAACAAAATTTTTCAAAAGATTAGTGATAAAAATTATCAATTATTCAAAGTTAGGTCCACTATTGTTCGGATGTTTCATGCTGTATTCATAATCTTCATTTTCCCATTACCGGGTCAATAAACAAAATATTTTATCTGCCACTTGCTCACCCGAAAGTTGCTGTTGAATTGTGGCACTGTTCTCCACAAAATTCAGGTTTTGGTTTCTTTCTCTCCTTCAGTAGATCCTCAAGGTCTTCATGTTCTGGGTGTATCGCTCAGTTTTTTTACACCGAAGCAGTCGCGCAGTGAAGCCTATATGGCATTGTACCGCGGCTGCTTTGAGGAGTTTAAAGAAAGTTTGTTATTTCCATTTTTGAATTGCCTAAAGTTAGTAGAACTGGGAAAAGCTCCTAATGTATTGTTACACATTCTTGACACTCTCGGGACAAAGGAGCGGTCTTATCGGTCAGTTCTAGGTGTACGAAGTTCGACACGGTTACGATGGGAGGCCAAAGACAGGCAGGCACATGGCGCGGCGACACCATGGGAGAGAGCTCTGAGGAGCAAATCCGGTTGGCGTAGCTAGATCTCCAACGGCCCGTCGATGTGAAGGTATCCCAGACCCTCAACTACAGAAGAGTAATCGATCATTAAATGCCTTTTGCGAAGCAATTTTAGTCCTCAAGATAGTTTCGACACACACTCTGATATCTGTCACTGGTTGACTGGTGTCCTCTGATCTGTTAGAAGGTTATGTACGAACAGCGGATTAGCAGTTGGCAAACAGTCAGAAACTGTACGAACAGGTAATGATTCTGATTTTGATAGTCACGGACGAGTTACCGACTACTGTACGAACAAACCGTACAGCATTTTCTCTTAGAAAAATGCTACAAAATTATCTGATAAATGTATCACAAAACAGAAGTAATATAAAGTAAACAATTATTTACTGGAATAGCTGCTTCATTACAACCACCCAAGCCTTGTTTGGAAAGTTGATGGTGTGTGTTCTTGTAGATCACTTGGCTGTCACTTGATCTGAGATACTTTCCACTGAGTGTGCTTGAGTTAATACAGTTAATACGTTTCTCAAGTTGTTCCACCAAGAAACATTTCATATCATACATCATTACCTACTAGCCATCACCCAAACTCATACACAGCCTGTTGCCATCTACACATCAAATGAGCAATTCAATTAAGTTCATGCAAATTAGTTAGAAAATATTGAAAATAATTGATAAGAAACAATGTATATGTTATGAATTTTTGATAAAGGCATTTTATTTGCTGCTTATACTCGTAAAATATAAGGATATGTGTGTAAGAGTACTAATAAACACTCGAATAAACATTAATCTCAGAATGTTGTTGTCGATGTTTTACGGCGATATGTTGCTCCTGAAGTATCTCTTTACAATGCCCAGCAATAATCAGCAAGCAAATTGACACTCCATTTGACTTGATACCGTTTTTCCTTAGCAGAAATGTCTTGGTGAATTTTTAGAGACATGCTACATTTTATTCCGTTATAAGCATTAATTAATTCATTCACAATATCTTTATAATTGTTCGCCTTCACGTTGCCTAAAATATTTGCAGTAACTAATTTAAAAGCATTCCAAGCTCGTAATTCAGTTTCATTTAGAGCACTGTCAAATATATCATCCTTCATGATTTTCCGTATTTGTGGACCCACAAATATGCCCTCTTTAATTATTGCCTAACTAAGTCTCGGAAATGTTTGTTTTAAATGCAGAAACCCTCTTCCATTTGGATCCATAGCTTTCACAAAAATTTTAAGAAGTCCCAACTTAATATTCAACTCGTTTTTGGGATCAACTAGTGATTCATCAGCAATGTTTCTGGGGCCCGGAGTTAATACCTGCCGTAGTGGCCACTCCTTCTGTTCATAATGACGACCTCGCGCACGACCGTCCCATTCACAAAGAACACAACAATATTTGGTTAGCAGAAGGGATATTACCTTTAAATCTGCACATATGGCCCATCCATATTCATTATAACGGATATGCTCTAACAGAACTCGCACATTTTCATATGATTCTACCGCTTTTAAACTAAGCTTAGAGGAATCAATGAACAGGCGCCAATCATTTGGATAATGTTTCTGTCCTAACGCGTCAAACAAATTGTTGACATCGGAGCAATATATCAATCAACTCCCTTTCTTGTTGCCGTTTTCGGTAAAAAGTAATGTTAACATCACCGTGAAGAAGAATCCATCCTTTTAATCTTGACGCTAAAAGTTCCGATTGGGATTTTAACAGATTTAATTTTCGAACTAAATGATTAACTTCGCCCTGTGTGATCAAATGCGGCGCTGTTGAACATCCTAGCAGGTCAAACGGAGGTTCAGAAATTTGTACGCTTTCTGTACCATCACTTTCAGAATCGGTGGATTCGACTTTTTCATCCAAAGACCAAGATTCTGGTGGAACTGGGACAGAAAGTTCATCACTATGCTTAACGGGCCGCAAAGCTGATGGTAAATTAAAATACTTAACAGTATGTTTCGATTTTGGTTCAATACATTTAATAATTGTGAGGCAAAAATAGCAATCAGTAGTATGGTCTCGGTTATCTCCAAACCATTGGTACCGCAAAGGGCATTTTACGATTGTCGCCTCTTAACCAATCTGTTAACAACGTTACACAAGTCTTGCAACATATGTGAGAAGCCCATAGTTTATCTTGGTCGCCAACTTCAATTACAAAATAAGCTTCGAATGCTTTCAACACAAGGGGACTAAAAGCACGATTTTGCGATTTAAAAGCTAGCTCTCCGCACACATAACAAAAACTGTTCGCACTATTTACACAATTTCTAGGCATTGTCCATAAAGCTAGTCTCGATCACAATAAACGAAAAACAACACACCGTTTCAACAAAAATTAACAGTACTCCGAACATCTCAGTACTTTCAATACAGAAAACGTAACTGACTTGGCTGCTATTAGTCTACTACTGCTCTCTGAACACAGAGCTCGCATATAATAAACAGGAATAGACAGGTCATCGCATAAACGCCGAGAAATACGGTAATATGAGATGTTACGCATTGTAATTCATAAAAGTAGATATTACTAAATATCTGTGGGTGATAGAAAATATCTGTTTTTAGATTTGATTTAAGGGTCTCAAAATACATAAGATATAAGTACCCAAAAATTGTCATGTCACAAATCCTGTATTTGAACATTAATTAAAGAAGTGGATATCAGATCGTTGCAAACATGCAAACACCAACAGCACTGATTACACATTGATAACCTCTGTGACCTGTCGAAGATGTTGACTTCATCACTTGAACGTAAAAAATATTTTTTTGCATTTTTAACCTAGTCCTAAAAAAAGTTACAACAGGGTTGCTGGCGAACAAACCCATTAATTTAACTATGATAAGTGAGATTTTTTTAAAAAAAGTAGTGAGAACAAGTGAGATATTTTTCTGAGAAAATTAATATCAATGCTAAATTTAAACGGATAATATAAATAGAAATGTTCGAAAAAACTACAATAACTCTTATAAGGTCTTTGTTACTACTTCACTGACAGAAGCAAAGATTATTATTTATATGTATGGATATTTCAAGATCAAATGAATACGATGCAAATTTTGTGAATACGGGATACGTACTTGTATCTACTAAGTATTCTTGCGCAATTGATTGAACTTACATTTTAGCGAACTATCTAATGTGAGCAAATTTAAACTTGAAATGGTTATTATAGATGACTGTTTTTTACACAATAGTTAACTAATTTAATCATCAGACCGTAAGACTAGAGTCAAGGGAGGCCAGTGGCGGATTTAGAGGGGCGCCCCACTAGAAGTCTGACACTAGCTTTTGTAATCTAACACCACTGTGTTACCTTCTGACACATCATGGCGACAGAGGCATACTAATTATAAGTTATGAACTGAGCCTCTTTAATATCATTGTTTACAGCACAATCGTTACGATTTACACGTATATACGAGTATTGTGACTTGTGAAACATCTAAGTCTGGGTAATATATTAGATATACAGATTGCACTTAAAACGTGATTTATGTTCAGTTTGTTGCTCAATAGTAATTTGAAAAGTGTGTAAAGATTGACTGATTTTGTTCGGAGTTGGTGTTGTAGCGAAACACTATGTTAGGTGAACGCCTACATTGGAAATAGACATTTATGACATTTGTTTAGCGATGCGCCTGTGGCCTGTCCAGAAACTGCGTTGATCGATGCTCAAAGTCAATACCACACGTCCCGCATATCTCCCGCGCATGTGTCTATTTATGTTGCTAAATCTAACTTCGACAACGAAAGTCTGAAAAATAACTGTAACATCTATAATGAATGTTCAAAAGCCCCAACCCCGTGGCAAATGTTTGTTCCGGAAGTTGTTGTACCCAGTATACAACTTTTTCCCGTTCAAGTGATTGTTCACGCCATAAGGAATCCCGCAGTACCGACTGCCGGGTGGCGGATGTCTTATAAATGTCCGCATGTTTCCAAACCTGAAGCTATGCAGTCGGTTATCTTCCAAAACAAAGAAATCAATGATGATAGATCCCTCGAATGCTAAGAATTCCGGACGTAAACTCACTCCACTCCCGGAAATGTCCGGGTGGAGGGTAGACTCGAGAGAATAAAATCGAAGATAAAATTTGTTTCACGAATATCTGCGGGATTAACTCCGCCATGCTTTTCTTGGCGGAGTCAAGCATCTCAGAGTCCGCACCAAATTACGAAATGCACTCCAATCTAAGAAAGAACGGTGGAGTTGTGGCCTTTGTCCGCAGCAGTCTTTCCTACTAAAATCAGACCGGAAGGACATTCTGCGGCTTCGCCTCAATTACAAAACATCCCCCAAATGTATTTACTGCCTTTATCGCTCTTCATCGGACCATAACTGGGATGACCTTCTTAAATGCCTCGCCGTCAAGATCCTGAACATCAATCACCCTGCTTCAGAGGTAGTTCTCCTCGGTGATTTCAATGACCATAATTTGCTTTGGTTGGGCTCAAACAAGACCGATGCAGCAGGTCGTGCAGTTGAAGCGTTCGCTCTTACTCAATGGTTGACCCCCTTCTTGTTTCACCCCCGTCTCGTCATATGCCAGTAGCCCGCTGGATCTCCTTCTGACCACGCACCCTGTGTGACCCACATCACGGTTTTGTGGAGGTTAGGTTTCGGCCATAACCCGATGTGGCAGCAGAAACTCGGCCAGGCCCCAAAAACTGGCATTATGGAGATGCCGACTGGGAGGGGCTTAGCAACTTCTTCTCTACCTCTCCTTGGGGAGACGTCAGTTTCACTGACGCGGGTGCGTTGACTGTCTGTTCTTCGATAACAGAAATTATCTACGTCGGAATGGAGGAATACATCCCTCATACAGTGAAAGTTCCTAAACCAATGTTCAACGGCTGTTTTAACGAATCCTGACACTGCTCGCCAGCAGAAGATCAACGCACACAAAACCTTCTTATAAAACTCCACTGTAAAGAACAGACTAGCCGACGTCGAGTCCAGAAACACATATAACGAACCGGTTCCCAATGCCAAAAAACAACACGATATAAGAGTTAGCCACAGGGTAATGTCACAGCGCAATAGCAGACAGTCTTTCTGGATTCTGGCCAATCAGATTGAGAAGAACTTCTAACACAGTAGCCTTCCACCACTTACGTGTCAGGATAGAACGATGGTATCGGACTCAAACGCCAACGCGGAAGTGCTTGCCAAGATCTTTGCTGCCAACTCCACCAACGCCCAAGTACGGTCAATTCAAAGGGTTCCCTACACTATGCGGGAGGTAACATTCAGGCATAAGACCGTAAGACGAGTGCTCTTGTCTCTCGACATCAACAAAGCTTCTGGTCCGGACTTAATTCCTGCCACTGTACTGAAGAGGTTTGCAGCGGAGCTTGCCCCAGTTCTTTCGCGTCTCTTCCAGATATCTTATGTATCTGGCTCTTTCCCAGAAAACTGGAAATTCGTTCATGTCTAACCCATCCCAAAAAAGGGATATAAGACCGGCCCTTACAACTACAGGCCTATAGCTCTGCTTTCTGTTATAAGTAAGGTGGTGGAGAGGGGCCTAAATCGCGAGCTTCTGGACTACCTCGAACGTCACAGCTTGATTAGCGACATGCAGTATGGTTTCCGGCATCAGCGATCCACAGGGAACCTCCTAGCTTACGTCACGCAATTGTGGAGTAAACTCAT